ACACTAGGAACAATACTTTTACAGCTTTCATTAATATTACAAAAGGACTCTTACTGTAAAGTATTACCATTTAATTTCAACTGTCATGCTTAAAGATGGCCATCTTTAAATATATACACAAGGCCATAGCATTAAAATTACATATGTTATTGATATTGTATGTGTACTCTCACACTTTATTTGCTTCTATTTTAGAACACTGCATGATTATCTAATCAAAAAAAAAAAAAAATTATTTAATCACAAAACCGACATAAGTTTGCTTCAAGAATGAACAATGTGGCATAAATGAGTTTGAAGTTCGGTGTTAGAAAAAAAACAGAGCAAAGAGAAAGTGCGATCTGTATTACAGCTCTCTATATGAGGCATAAAGACTGTATTAGAGCCACAGAACGAGCACAATACATAATTTATAGCCTAGGGTGAAGTCATTACGTACATTAACAATGATTTGGGACAAATATAATGTAATTTAATGGGAAAAATATGTGCATGGCGCTCTGTTCCGCGGCAGGATTTTCTGTCGGCTGCATTTAAATGCACGTTTGAAGTTTCCTGCTCTGTGCAGCGCGCAATGTCACGTGTCAAAACAAACAACACGTGCTGTTAGTGATTTCCGCCTCTAGAGGCCGCTCTCGTACTGTATAATGGCAGTGGACCCTTCTCAGCCACTCCAGCAACGGACGCAACCCGGAAAACTATCGGCATTGATTTTTGCCGATAACCAATAGTTCCGCCAATCAACTATCGGTGCCGATTAATCGGCAAACCCGATGAATCGGTCGACCTCTAGTTTATACCATAGTATATAAACATAATATACCGTCATTATTTGGTAGTCTGAGATGGGATGGGGGGAGGGGGCGCCAAATAAAAAAAAAATTTATTTAAAGGGGAGCACGATCAAAAAAGTTTGAAATTAACAGACAGTGTTTAAAAAGTGCAGTCCACATGTTTACATGTTTATTACAGTGTCTTTGAATGACCTAAAGTAGTGTGGTAAAGCAACAGATTTGTTTTTATAGTTTTGCAATCTACTTTAATTTGTGTGATTTGTTACTGACTTTCATATTAATGTTTACACCAAGCGTATTTGTCAGTGCTTTATGTTGTGATAATTATTACATGCTTACAAGGTTGGAAGTTCAACAAATCAGTCAATATACTGTGATTGTAGTTGTTAAATAAAAATGTCATATCAATTCATGCATCACCTAATTTCATCGTAACATATAGGCCTGGCCTACAGAAAATAACATTTGTTTAATCTATCTAATATTGTATCATACTATACAATGATTTATAGCTTGTCTTTGTTGAATAATACAGCTTTAAAAAATAATTGCATATTAAATCGTAATCGATTATTTTCCAAATTTGTTCAGCCCTAATTACACTGCAATGTAATAAAATAATCTGTGTGTGCTAATGAACAGAAGTATGCTTGCAGCATGTTTCAGTGTGTTGCATACTCTCATTCAGGTATTTCTGTTTGTAGACTTTCACCTCTGAGAAGGAAGGAAGAATATGACTGCTGAAACACTTAACTTTGGCCCAGAATGGTAAAATCCTTTCCTTTCTATTTCTGTGTCTCCTTCTCTTGTTGTCAGATCTCACTTAATTTTCTTTCTCCTCTTTTCCTCGTAAATGTTTTTTTATCACTGTCCTTTTTTTTCACTGTCCAGAGAAAATGGAATTTTCTCTTCCATTCTTTGTCATTGTCGGAGAAATTAAATGCAAGAAGTACTATCTCACTACCTTTTCCTGTAGTAAGCTACTTTAGGCAAAGGGATAAGTGTTGTTATTTTTTGCCATGTTGTTTTGCATGTGTAGCTCTGAGGCGATAGTCGAGCACTCTCATAGAATGTCTTTTTGCTCATTCACTAGCACTCAAAAGATTGGGGTCGGTAAGATGTTTTTTGTTTTTTTTTGTAATAAATGAATACTTTTATTCAGCAAGGTAGCATTAAATTGATCAAAAGTGACAGTTAAGACATTTGTAATGTTCTCTTTTTTTGCCTTTTCAAAGAATCCTGAAATCACAGTTTCCTCAAATATTTAGCAGCACAGATGTTTTTAGCACTGATAATAATAATAATATTGCATGTTTTCCTTAGCACCAAATCAGCGTATTAAAATGATTTCTGAAGGATCATGTGACACTGAAGACTGGAGTAATGGCTGCTGAAAATTATGGGAATAAATTGCATTTTAAAATGTATCAAAACAGAAAACGGTTACTTTAAATTGCAGTAACATTTCGCAATGTTACAGTTTTACTGTGTTTTTGATCAAATAAATGCAGGTTTGGTAAGCATAAGAGACGTCTTTCAAAAACATACAAAAAAATAAAATAAAATCTTACTGAACCCAATCTTTATGTTGGTAGTATGTGTTGTATTGGAAATCCTGAACTAGGGTTTTTAAAAAAATTTTTTTTATTAATTTATTTATTATAAAGTATGCGTTTGGCCAATCAATGTCTACTTACGTCACGATTAGTACCAGTTGTGCTGGTTAGACCCTGCTCCGGAGTAGGAGCTAATTTGGTTCTCAAAAAAGGCAGTCCGGTACTAAAATCGCACCCAGTTCCGGCGGTGCGAACACGCCGAAAAGTGGGTAGTTCCACAATTAGTTCTGGTACTATGAAAAGGTTCCTGCGGTGCGAAAGGCCCTATTATCTTTTGTCACACAGCCCAAAGCTCTGTTTTTGAAAATGTATTCCCTTCCTAAATCACTTCAATGTAGTGAGCTTCAAAATGGTATCGTACCATTCAGTTTATTAAATTTAAAGGATTTTTCCTCAGCACTGCTCTCTACTTTTACCGTGTTTCTGTAAGGTTCTCTCTCTCATCCTTCCCTTCTTCCCAACCCCCTTCTCTCCCTGTATCTCCTCTTGGCACACACAAAATGATAATGCAGAAATTAAACCGTTAGGCGTGGTCCTCTGCTGAACTAAGGCTCTTCTGTGCATAGTTGGTCCTCGGCCAACAAAAGTGAATTCCTGAGTTTGACATGTACAATGCAGGGGGTGGTATGCTTCCTCAAAGCCTTCTTCATCAGCTTATCTCAGCGGGGTATTATTTATGTAAAGTTTACAAAGCCACCCACAGCTCTGAACAAAGTGCCTCAGCCGGTTCCGTTTCACATGTTTCCAGCGCTGAAAAGTGGTTTCGGTCAGGAAAAACAACTTTGCACTGGCCCCTAAAAGCTGCTGGGCTCGAACCAGGAACTACTAACATCAGATGCCGGGGGCGAGACAATGTCAGCACCAAGTAAAGTTGTCAAAACAAATAACTCTGGTGTTCTCTCTCTCATCCTTCCCTTCTTCCCAACCCCCTTCTCTCCCTGTATCTCCTCTTGGCACACACAAAATGATAATGCAGAAATTAAACCGTTAGGCGTGGTCCTCTGCTGAACTAAGGCTCTTCTGTGCATAGTTGGTCCTCGGCCAACAAAAGTGAATTCCTGAGTTTGACATGTACAATGCAGGGGGTGGTATGCTTCCTCAAAGCCTTCTTCATCAGCTTATCTCAGCGGGGTATTATTTATGTAAAGTTTACAAAGCCACCCACAGCTCTGAACAAAGTGCCTCAGCCGGTTCCGTTTCACATGTTTCCAGCGCTGAAAAGTGGTTTCGGTCAGGAAAAACAACTTTGCACTGGCCCCTAAAAGCTGCTGGGCTCGAACAAGGAACTACTAACATCAGATGCCGGGGGCGAGACAATGTCAGCACCAAGTAAAGTTGTCAAAACAAATAACTCTGGGGATTCTGACACCCAACAAAACCAGATCACTCCCAGTATAATCAGCAGAGTTATTTACACTATAAGCACAGTTGCTATATACAGTATCTGACACAGCAACTCCAGCCCCTTGATTTTCCTGTTTGTCTAAAATTAAATATTATACAAGTATAAACACTACTGTTCAAAAGTTTGGGGTCAGTAAGATTCGGTTTTGTTTTGAATTAACTTTTTTTTTTTTTTAATAATAAAGAAAGTATTTTCAAAGGTATTCCTGTGATGGCATTACTCCAGTCTTCAGTGTCACATGATCCTTCAGAAATCATTCTAATATGCTGATGTGCAGCTTGAAAACATTTTTGTAATATTATCAATGTATTAACAGTTGTACTGCTAAATATTTTTGTGGAAAATAACTTTTTTCAGGATTCTTTGATGAATAGAATTTTGAACCGTAGTGTATATGTAAATTGATTAATATGGATTTATTGGGCATAACTTCTAGCTTTTTTAGTTCTTAAGAGTGTTTCCCCTACCCGAGCATCAGCCCACGCTTCAGCACCATTTCTTTGGAAAAGGGGAGTGAGAGATTCTAAATAAAGGAGGATGTAGAGTCGACATTGACAGGGCTGCCCTTGAATGGTAGCCAGAATTAGAGCATTTCTCAATGAAGCTTTCACATTGTTGCTGCTCTATCTCTTTTGATCTGATTTTTATGTCTCTCTCAGGCTCCGTGCACTTTCCAGTGGAGGCAGTGTGTCTTCCCCTCCTGCCTCTCCTGCTATGCCAAAGTACAAGTTGGCCGAGTACCGTTATGGCCGAGAGGAGATGCTAGCACTTTATGTCAAAGACAACAAGGTGGGAAAATGCCTAAAAACAATTCTGGGCTGTGTTGGTCTATTTTTGGTGATATCTAAGCATTCAGTTTGCAATGATTGTACCTACACCTTTACCGCTTGACAATGACATTGGAGGGATTGATTAGACAAAAAAAAAAGTGCAGCTTTTTTTAGTCCAAGTGATCTGCCGGTAATTGTGCATTTTCAGATTATTTGCATCAGTTGTTCATGTCTGCTTGGTTGATTTCAATCTACTGACAGCTGTGTTAGTTAATAATAAGCTGTGTTAGTTAATAAGTTTTCATTAGAGGAATTTTGTCTTCATCTCAATTGCTGGTGGTAAATTATGTTATACATTGGCTGTTGGTTGCTCTGAACTTTAGTATCTACATCAGCCATTGGAAAAACCCATATTGGTCAGTCTTTTTTTTTTTTAAAGTCTATGTAATAATCCTAATGTTGCTCAAAACATGTTTTTGTTCTGTGGAACTCCATACTGATTTATCATTTGTCTTTGTGCATACAATGTACTGTAAGTGGTAACGATACATACACGTATAGAATTAAAGATGTTTCTGCCATTAATGACTTAAATTTAAGGTCAGTTTTTGACACAAAGCTTTAAATGTAACTCTCACAAATTTTATGGGCTACTTCTCTGTTCACGTCCATTAAGTGGAAAAGAGCAGCCTGGACATTTTGCAAAATAACTCTTTTTGATTATTTCCAAAGTACAAACATGAGTATTTTGAGTGACATTAGGCGAGTTGATGATCACAGAATTTTCATTTTTGGTTGAACAATTTTTTTTATTTTTGTAAATTTAAATGTTTAATTTTAATTATTAGATATTTAAACAGTTAATCTTTCTGTGATGCTTGTAGAATACAAACATTGTGTTTGTAAATGTCACTCTTATAAGTGTTTCGTGTGCTCAGCGAGTGCTGAGGGACCTTTAGCAGGTCCCTTAATGGACGTCTTTTGTGGCATTCATATGGCATGAGGTTTAACATGCAATGTTTGTCTAGTACATGTTTCCACTGGTCGACTTTAAAATGCAAAAAATGTCTTACCAGTACTGACACAAGTCATAAAAGTTTCCACGAGCAACGGCGGCGGCAGAGCTCTTTTACAACAAAAATAGACTATAGAAACTGTGCCTTAAGATAATGATTTACCATGTTTTTTTATTGCAGAAGAAATATTCAGTGTGCACTAATCAAACATGGATATTTGTATGGAAGAAAAATAATGCCATATGTCTTTGAAACAAAATAGCACTAACTGAAAAAATAATGCATTGCATTAACTAGGGCTGAACGATTAATTGTATTTGCGATAATATCGCGATATGAAATAACGCGATTTTTCAATCGCAGAGGCTGCGATTACACGGTCACGTGACACGCGAGAGTAAAGAGGGGTGTTCGACTTGAAGATCGATCGGTGTATGACATCAAATTATGGCGAGCGAGAGAAAGCATAAGGAGACGTCCGCGCTCTCTTATAGCTCTTGCAGTACTTTGATGACACACCCATTGGTCTAAGCAGCGCTGCTTCAAGTCGAGCGTGGGCCATCAGCAGAAAAAGAAAATAAATAAAACCGTAAACAGCCAAAGGACGTAACTTAGAATGGGAGATGGATCGGTTTGTGAAAGGGAAGAGAAAAGCCATAGATGAAGTCGCACAGACCCAGGCAGGTGCTGGTCATTCAAAAGCTAAATGCATAAAATATGACGAGGCATATCTTGCTCTCGGCTTCACTCACCGTGTCTGCACAGTTGTCGCGTTGCGCCGCAACAGCTCTACACTGGACGAGACAAAGCGACCGATGCAAATCATTTTAACTTTGTGTCAATACGTCATAAATAGAACGAGGCATCAGTTTAATGTCGGGCCGCATCCAGTGTACACTGTGTCACTGATTATAATGGTTACTGTATTTTGCCACTCGCGTCCGGTATAGACACAGTGTTTAATGTCGTTGGTGAGGAGGAAAGCCTGTGTGTGTCCTATGCCTTAGTGGACCGCAAGAAACCCACAAAAAATAAATAAATACAACCCTCTACACTGCGAGTAAATCACTCGCATATGCGACTAAATCTTCACTCTGGGCGACTAAATGATGTCTAATATCAGCCAATGGCTACTAAATTCTCAGATTTTACTCGCCAGTGTGCGAGTTGGAGGCTGAGTATATGATTAGCACAGATATATTTTCACTCACAGAACACTCTGACTGCTCGCTTCAGAGTTTCACTCTCCGTCAAGCGATCTGTGATGTTTTTCAGTTCATTTGAATGGAATGCGCACCTGTGTTTGTGTATTTGGCGTAACGTAAGCTCTAGTGTGAAGGCTCGCCGTCGCTTTCTCTCACAAAGAGCAAAGAGCGAGAGCGAGCACTCTCCGTCAAGCGATCTGTGATGTTTTTCAGTTCATTTGAATGGAATGCGCACCTGTGTTTGTGTATTTGGCGTAACGTAAGCTCTAGTGTGAAGGCTCGCCGTCGCTTTCTCTCACAAAGAGCAAAGAGCGAGAGCGAGCAGGTCTTACATAACATGCAGAATTGATGCGCTACATGTAAACGATATTCTTTGTTGTATTTTCCTGTAAAAATAACAGTTCCTTTGGAATTCTTCAGCTTTTAAGAACTGCCGGGTTTTCCTGTAGTAGGTGGAACTAATGCGCAAACGACGATCTCATTGGCTGGTGCTCACCTATTATCGTCCCTGTTTAGATTTCAGCGAATTAGTTCGAGCGAACGCACACAACCTGATTAATATTCATGAATCTTTGATGAAACAGATTTTTTTTAATAGGTTTAAAGGGGGGCGTGACCAAAAAAGTTTGAGAACCACTGGTCTAAAGTTAACAGACAGTGTTTAAAAAGTGCAGTGCACATGTTTACATATGTTTGTTACAGTGACTTTGAGTGACCTAAAGTAGTGTGGTAAAGCAACAGATTTGTTTTCTATATTTCTGCAATCTACTTTAGTTTGTGTGATTTGTTACTGACGTTCATATTAATGTTTACACCAGGCTTATTTAAACATAATTATTGGCTGATTACAAGGTTGGAAGTTCAACAAATCAGTCAATATACTACTGTGATTGTAGTTGTTAAATAAAAATGACATTCATATCAATTCATGCATCACCTAATTTCATCGTAACATATAGGCCTGACCTACAGAAAAGAACATTTATATTTAATCTATCTAATAGTTTGTTGGTCATACTATACAATGATTTATAGCTTGTCTTTGTTGAATAATACAGAACATAAAAAAATAATTGCATATTAAATCGCAATCGCAATATTGGTAAAAAAAATCGCAATTAGATTATTTTCCAAAATCGTTCAGCCCTAGCATTAACAGTGCTTGCATTTTAATGCCTCCTGAAATTTAAAGGTCCTGAAATTGAACATAGTTGTTTATTTAAGCTGTGAATATTTCAATTCAAAATATTTCACACACATTTTCATAATTAAAAATTCAATCATTCACATTCACATTCTAGAATTCACTTCCAAAATATTCAATCTGTTTAAAAATACGATGTATAAAATTCGACAGGCAAATTTCAGTCCATTTTATTTCACTTTCCAAATTCGCTTCCACAATTTCAGTGGTTAAGGGAGTTAGGGAAGTTTATTGTATTTTTGTTTCTTTTGTTAGGACATTTAGTTATGTTTTATTTGCAAGTTATTTAGTTTGTTATTTTGACCTAGGGACACCCTGAAGCTATGGCTTCTTTATTTAATTATTTTATTCCATTTCAATAAATTACTTGTGGATCTTACTTTTATGTCTGTGGTGATCTGTCGGCTGCGGTTGGTTTCCCGTTAATACTGCGGTTCCCCCTCATACGTCACACTCCAGGATTCCCCAACGACGTGCAACATGCCTCAATGAACTAATACAGTGATATAAGACCTCAGATCTCAGAATACACTTTATTTATGATTATGCGAACTATATACAGGCAAGCAAATGAGGTCAGAAGAACTCAACGCGCTGCATTTTCTTTATAATTGCTTTCCCTTACCACTGATCTACAGAGTCAATAGTCCTACAAAGATATCAATACCACGATTAGTTTTAACAATATGCAACCACTTTATATTGACATAACAATAGTTCAAAACTGCCTATGGTGTATTGTTGCTGCAAATTTAATCCGGAGAAAGCATTGACGCGCTATTGCACCCATAGGACCGTCTGACAATTTTACCAACTGGGTTAAAACTAGGGTTGGGTACCGAAACCCGGTACCAATATGGCACTTAAAACTACATAGCTTTTACTTTTATCTGACAAGCAGTTGTTTTTATCCTTATAAGCCGAATGAGGCAGAAAATATGTTCCATAGGCTACTTAAAAAAAAGAATACATCGATTAGCAATTTATTATAAATATACTTAATTATTATGAAAATACTAGAGATGGCTTGAATAACAGATAAAAACTATATCATCGCAGTCGAGTGTTTATTGTCTTTGTTTTATCATTCAAAACATTTATATGTTCTGTTTACTCAGTTACAGCTATAATAGCCATGCCTTTGTCCATATGAGGTATTTCCTGGAGGGTCATGATTTCTGCTACTTCTCTGACTGGATATGTGGATTTTCTTTGCGAGGGTGCCCTCTGGCGTCCAGTATGAATGAAACGGACATCATGTGTGTTATAGTGCTAATGGCCAATCCATCATGTTTTGGGGAATTTTTATTTATTTATTTATTTAAATAAGTATGGGTTCAGGCACCGTTTAGGCACTGGAACCGTTTTAAAAGTATCGATTTGGCACCGGTATCGAAAAAAACCGATACCAAACCCTAGTTAAAACGTCCAATGTCATTTAATACAAATGACTTTTAACATTTAAAATAACATACTGTCAAATTGTAAAGCTCGTATAGCTCATAGTGATTTACTGCAAGTGAGATTTTGCCAATACCTCCCTTCATATATGTACAGTACACATTTATTCATGTTCTAACGGTTGTAGTACATTGCTAGATACAAGACTAACTAACTACAGGTTAGATTTTACCAATATCTCCCTCACAGTATGTACAGTAAACAAATATCTTTTAAAAAAACTACAGTAATTCACCAGAAGGTTTTTTTTCATGTTCCACAGGTTGTAGTACGTTGCTAGTTACAAGACTGACTGACTTCATGTGAAATTTTGCCAATTATCTCCCTTACTGTATGTACCATTCACAATTATTTAAAAAAAAAATCTGTAAGACCCCAAAAGGGATGTTTCATGTTCCAAAGGTTGTAGTATAAAATATTGATGTACTTTAAGTACAGTAAGGGAGGTATTAGCAAAATTTCACCTATAGTACGTCAGTCGAGTCACTAGGAATGTACTACATCCTTTGGAACATAAAAAAAAAACTTTATATGAATTACAGTAATTTCTTAAGAATAGTTATATACTGTAGGAAGATATTGACAAAATTTCAACTGTAGTAAGTGAGTCTGGTCACTAGTAACATACTAGTAACACAATATTTGGTACACGAAAAACCCAAATTTTGGTGAATTACTGTTGTTGTTTTTTTTTTCTTAAAAAATATTTGTGTAGGGTACATACTTAGGGAAAGGTCGCGTTATTGGCAATATATATTTAATCAGTTTGAGTAAATTATTCATTTACTGTAAACATTAATTTGAATGAATTATTGGACTTTTGTTTGTACAGTGAGGTAAATTTGCAGACGGTCCCTAAAGCAGCCTTGCCAAATATGCAGCGAATATCAAACCTAAAACTACTGCGCTTGGTTTTCTATGGGAGATAAAATGGTTTGGTGATACTTTGTGGATTGTGGGCTCATATTCTGGGCTCATCTGCTTAAATGTACATTATATACAGTAATATATATTATTAATTATGCTCCAAATGTAATGATTTATTATCACAGTCTTGAGGCATTAAACCACGTTAAGTGTTTTCTTTATGGGAAATGTTTAACGTGCAGTTTTGCGCATTCTGTAACTTCTGTTCATATCCTTATCTGCCTGTTTATAGTTTGCATCATCAGTAAGATCTGAGTTTGGTCTTTTAATAGCTGTCATTGGGTTAGTGCACTGAGCCGCGTAATGCATTTTCTTTAAAAGATTTCTGAGGGAAACAACGTGAAACCTTGTGCGTTCGTTCTTATTCTACATCTGCTTAACTGTCGATATAGTTTGCATCATCAATAAAGCGTATTCTGAGATCATTCGTCGATCGGTCGTTGGGGAATCCTGGAGTGTGACGTATTAGGGGGAACCAAAGTATTACAGCACAGCGTCACACAAGCCATGATGCAAGTAAAGAAAACTAAGCAACCGAAAGCAATATATGTCTTCCTCAGATGTAATGTTAGTTCTGTACTTCAGCGTTGGGTAAAATAGCATTATTATCTCCTTTGTAGTAGAGAAAGCTGCTTGCATGTAGGCCACGGGAAAAAGCGAAGATGTTGAATTAAACATACACACACTCAGCTTTTCCACATGTTTATATTGGCCCCGATAATCAAAACTTCTACTTAGCGCTTGCTCCATTTCTGCAGATCAGTTATTGTGAATGAATGACTTGATCCACCTTTTGCTTTGGTCTTCATCAACAGCCGCTTGCGCCACCTGCTGGTGAGCGACTAACAGCAGCTGGAGATCATGCATCGGTGCTCTACTGCTATTCCTGCAGCTCCCGGATGTGCAATGCCGAATTTTAACCACTGAATTTGTGGAAGCGAATTTGGAAAGTGAAATAAAATTGTCCGAAATTTGCCTGTCGAATATTATATCTTATTTTTAAACAGATGTTTTGGAAGTGAATTCTGGAAGGTGAATATGAATTATTGAATTTCTAATTATGAAAAAGTGTGTGAAATATTTTGAATTGAAATATTCACAGCTTAAATAAACAACTGCGTTAAATTTCAGGACCTAAAAATGCAAGCCCTGGAAATACAAGGCATTAAAATGCAAGCACTGTTAATGCAATGCATTATTTTTTCAGTTAGTGCTATTCAACGTGCTTTTTTGTTTCAAATACGAATGGCATTATTTTTCTTTCATATTTGTTTTAATTACACTTTCAATGTGTTGGAAAAGTGTTTTCAAGAAATCCAGGCACTCAAAGTCCCCCATGTAGGGCCACTATTGTGGAAATATTACAAATCTAAAAAGGGAACCTGAGATGATATATATATATATATATAGGCAAGATGATTTGATTTTTACTTCTAAAAGTTGACCAGTTAATATCTGTTGTAAGAAGCCACGTCAGCATTACACAAACTTAACCCTTAAATAGTCAGTTCCTTAGGGCAGAAATTAGGGCAGAAGCTAAATTAAAGGGTAATTTCCATTTAAAAGTCAGCATTACCTCTGAACATTTTATGTTTCTTGAGCAGCAAACCAGCATATTAGAATGATTTCTGATGGATCATGTCACACTGAAGACTGGATTAATGGCTGCTGAAAATTCCGCTTAGCCATCATAGGATAGAAAAAATAACATTTTAAAATAAATTCAAATAGAAAACGTTACTTATTGTAATATTTCACAACATTACTGATTCTGCTGTATTTTTGATCAGATGCAACCTGAGTGGGCAGACCTGAGTGAAAGACTTCAGAAACATTAAAATAATTCCCAAAACCTTTGAGCCTATAACAGGGGTAGGCAAGTTCGGTCCTAGAGAGCCGCAGACCTGCAGAGTTCAGCTCCAACCCTAATCAAACACACCTGAACAAGCTAATCAATGTCTTCAGGATTACTAAGGCTATAGGCAGGTGAGTTTTGTTTTCAGGGTTGGAGCGGAACTCTGCAGGACTGCGGCTCTCTATGACCGAACTTGGCTACCTCTGGCCTATAAGAAGGGACATTGGTGAAGGGATTGAGTTGCTCAATTTTTGTAGCATCCCCTATGGTGGAGTGCCCTTATAAGGTGCAAAAATGCTTTTTTGAAATTTACCCAAAATGTGCTGAAGAATGTTGATGGGTTAAAGCTGACTCAGATCAGCACAGTCCAGACTTTGTATATTTAAAATGTTTCTCTGTCCAGATGTAAATTTCTTGCTTTTGAGTCCATCATTTGCTACAGTAGAGTGAGTTACATTGTTGTGTATGTTTTCAGGTCCCTGAAGAAATGCAGGATAAAGAGTTTGCTGCTATTCTGCAGGATGAGCCTCAACAGCCACTGGCACTGTTGCCTTTCACTGAAGAGGAGCAGGTGAGAGGCGCACACTTACACGTCTGGCATTCTGAGCTTGGGGCTGGTTTAGGGCTGTCGCGATTCGTCGATTTAATTCGAATATTCGATTTGTTTTTAAATCCTCGACTTAATTTTGCTTGCGTCGACTAACCGGTGAAATAACGTAAGTGGTGCATTTCACAGATGAGAATGTATAAAACACATTATTAGTCTTTTTTATTTAATTAAGCATAATTGTGAATTCACAAGCGCTACGATTTAATTAAATAATTATATGCGATGCAGATCTAATACAGTATATGCGCTTTAATTATTTACATGCGTGTAGGTTAAGTATGTGCTCACAGTAGTTCCACAGGAACTGTTATCATTTACAAGTGCGGAGCGTCTCAAACTCCATCTCTTCATGTTGTTGTGAGTTTGGGTTTATTATAAGGTTCATCTGGGAACGCAACATGTGCCATTTCCTCAGATTTGTAAGGTTAATCATTTATAAATCTACGCAAACACAGGAGAATACATTGCGGTTTCAAAATAAAAGCTCAAACCCTCACTCGTTACACGTTTTGATGTCCACATATTCATTTAATTACGGTGGCTATAGTATTTCTGTCCTAAAGAAATGGCCAAATATTAAAGATTAAGTGGACATTTGAATGAAGTGGTGCTTGGTCAGTATTAAACAAGTATTAAATCGCACAGCAATGTGTTAAAACAATCGTCAGGCTGTTGGCGCCCTCTGCAGGCCTTTGTTGTAATGCGTAATGCACATTAGCCCTATTGTTTATAATACATTGTATTTTAACAATTTTGTTCAATAAAACCATATGATTTCTTGCTTTTGATACTTTATTTGAACTAGTCGCCTCATTGCTATTATATATGTATTTTAAGTAATTTTAAAGGCTAATTTCACTTACATCTATTTTTATTACTACAAAAAAATTAATTATAATTATAGGGCACTATGGAATCCGTTTTATTTCCAAATTCAGTTTTTTACATTTTCATTTTTCTGTACTCTGTTTTAATGGTTAAATTAAATTTTATTAATCAAAAAGCCTGTCTAATTAATTGAGCTTTACAGTTTTATCTTTACCAAATTCTGTTTTCCATTATTTTCTGGATTCCATTTGAATGGTTCCATTAAATTTTAATAATCAAAAGCATCTCCAATTAATTGATTTTATAAAAAAAACAAAAAAAACAAAATATATATATATAATATATATATTTATTTATTTCAGAAATACTGCACATTTACATTTTTTTCCTAAATAAATTCTGGTAAATAATATTTCTGGTAAAAAAAGTGTTTTTTGATTATAATTTTATTATTAGTAGACTAGAACACGTGAATATGTTGTCATTCTTACACTATAATACTGAACTTTGATTTCAGTGATTTGGACTATGAGATGGACACTTGCTTCTTGCACTTTATGTTGCACTTTACTTTTTTACTTCTGGATTTCATTTGGTTTAATGAAATATAGTTTAATAAAATATTCTTAAGTAAAATTGTTGAGATTTGTTTTTTGTGGCAAATTAATCGTTTGGATTAATCGATAAATTAGTCGATAGATTAATCGAAATAAAAATACTCATTAGTGGCAGCCCTAGGCTGATTAGACATGCATCACACACAAGTAACCTGAGGTGGGGCAAGCTCATTTTTCAGAAACCGTATATGTATATATATATAAAAAAATGCCTTTGGCAGTATAATGATTTTTATCTCCACTGATTTTGCGTTTTTTTTATGTGGTCCTGGTTTCACTCCTCGTGTGTTTTTTTTTTTCTCTTTGCAGAGGAACTCCATGTCTGTCAACAGTGTGGCTGTGCTGAGGCTTATGGGTAAGGGGGGCGGGGCCGTCCCTGCTGGAGTGAACCGAGGCAGAGGCAGTGTGAGAGGCGGTCGAGGCAAGTTGATCTATTTATGTGTACATGCGTGTAAATTATTCATGTATTGGCTGACGTTTATGTCACGCTGTGTGTTTAGGTCGAGGAAGAGGAGAGGGCGGTTTCTACCAAAGAAGCAGTGAGGAAGGAGAGGGCGGTTTTGGTCGTAGCGTTCGAGAGATCCATCGCAGTCAGAGCTGGGATGACAGGTATTCTTAATCGTTTTGTTTTATTTTATTGTAAATTGTTTCTATAGTTTTTTTAATCTTAATTTTATTTTTTGTGGTATTTTTCCTATTGTGGTCTCAGTTTGTTGCTTTAGCTCTTGTCTCAATAAATATAAAATCCTTTTATCAGCATACAATCTAGATTTGGATGGCTGTTGAGGCAAATCAAAAGCCGTCTAAATAAGCCTTTGTCTCTTTTCATTCTGCAGAAGTGAGAGACGTTTTGAGAAACCTCTGCGGAGGGAAGGTGTACGTCTTGGTTTTGAGGAGGGGGGTCCGGGTGGCAGAAAGGAGTTAATGCGCTCTGATAGTGACAACTGGCGCACACTGAGAGAGGAGCAGGAGGAGGAGGACACAGGAGAGGCTGGAGGCAGCTGGAGACTCACGGGCTCACGAAGAGATGGTAACACCGTACACATTTACACTTGGCATATAAAAGGAATAGTTCACCCCCCGCCCCCCCCTTTAAGCTTTTTAGTGGATTACTTGAGGTGTACCATAAGTAAATGGAGCTTTTGTTAAACATACGCTCGAAAGTTCAAGAGTTTGGCGTCAGTAAGAAAAAAAAAATTTCGTCAAGGATGCATTACATTCATAAAGTGACAGAAAATGCATTTATAATGATAGAAAAGATTTTTAATTATATTAAGTGCTGTTCTTTTGAACAACTGTTTTCAACACTGATAATGAGATGTTTTTTGAGCAGCAAATCAGCATATTTGCATGATTTCCAAAGGATCATGTGATGCTGAAGATTGTAGTAATGCCTGCTGAAAATAAAATAAAAAACGTTATATTTACTTATATTTCTGTTTTACTGTATTTTACCACCCTCAAACTTTTGAACAGTAGTGTATAAACTTGTAGTGCTTTTTCCTAGATGGTGGTCCTCGCTCTGCCGGTTGGCGCGAACACTCTGGTCCGGGTGAAGTTCGCCGCAGGAAGTTTGACTTCGACTTCCGGGATGGAGGAAACGAGGGAGGCAGACGGAAAGCAGGCAGCGAAGGAGCAGAGGAGGAGAGAGATGGTCTGCCAGAGTGGTGCACAGATGAGGAAGATGGAGAAATGGGAACTTTTGATTCTTCTGGAGCGTTTATGCCTATTAGGGTGAGACCATGAGATCTATTCTCTATTGATTTATAATCTATGGTTTTCTTTTCTTTACATTTTTCAACTCTTCTATTGTCTTAGAAGGGCCCGAAAGACCCCATTCCAGAAGAGGAGTTTGAGTTCCAGGGGTTGGAGGATGAGGAAGAGGACGGTGATAATCAAGAGAAGAAGAATGGCGCTGGTGCTGAAAAAAGCGAGAAAGGTGGGAACAAAAATGGAAAAAGTAGACGCTTAAAGCACAGTTCTTGCAAAAATGTATATGATTGCTTTGTGTGAGGATAATACAGAATTATTTTGTGCACAAATACAATTTGAGCACTGCTGTGAAGTTTACAAAAATCTCTGAAGTGCGTTTAATTAAAATATGATTTTAAACAAATATATCGAACTTGTTTCAATTGATCTCATTACTCTCTTTTTTCTCTTTCTACAGATGTCATTGACTCTGCTCCAGTGTCTGAAACGGAAGTGAAACCGATTTCTCCTTCCCCTCCTTCTCCTCTCCCTCAGTCTCTTCCTGCTCTGGTCCCTGAGGCTGTGCCCTCTGCTGCCCCCTCTGGCCTGGAGGAGCCTCAGCCTGCCCCCTCCATTCCCAACAAACTACCAAGTGAAGGTAAATTTTTTTTTAATATAAATTAATTTTTCTATAGCTATATAGATGGATGATGCTTCACTTGTGTATTGTCTTTTCTGTAGTGTTATCAGAGGCTATGTTAGATTTGAGCCCCAGTGCCTCCTCCAGTCTGCCTTCATCGCCTCCCTCTTCATCCTCTGCTGCTACTGACTTCCCACCACCGGGGGGTGATATTGAGGATGATGAGGGCATGAAGCACCTGCAACAGGTACCACAGAAAAGGAGTTCTAGAGAGGAACCGATACAATAACATTTGACTGAATTTAAAAGATGAAAGGTTCAGCTGCAGAAATGGGTCATTTAGAACATGTCATAATAATAATATCGTCCGCATATATTGATCGCATTGACTATATTAGTAGACACTCCGTATTCACCAACTTAGTGATGTCATTGTTAACTCTTTCATATGTGCAAAAGAGTCACAACAATGTTATTTATATGTACAATGTACAATAGTAAAAACCATCTGCTTAATTCTTAGTCAGAAAGAGGGTGGGGAAATTGTCTATTTATATTTTTGATGATAATTTATTTTTAATTATTTTTTGTTACTAAATAGACTAAATTATGACTAAATTAACTAACATTATTTATAATTATTTATGAATTTATTTATAATATTCTTTTGATCTAGAAATGTGGATTAACATTAAAATAGAGTAAATTATGCTGTTGTAAGTAATCTTAAAGATTCCTAAATGCATCTACTTCCGGAAGGCCAAATAAAGTGCTTTTGCTTTCGCCTAGCAACACACAGTGTCTCTCTGACATGCTGCTTCAACACTAACTGCATTTACTGAAACCACGCCTTCTTTCTTTGCGTGCACATTTGGGCGGCATTATGCAAATATTTCCACATAGTGAGGTAGATATGTGGGGGCGTGTTAGAACGAGCCGTTTTAGGGGGGCGTGGCAGAGTCTTAACTTTGATAAAGAATATCTCTTTGGTTTTGAGACTTTAGTCTTTGCAACTTCAGGAATCTTATCTATGCACAATCAGCTTGTAACACTCCAAAGAGAAAGGAAAACTTGAAATCGCATCATATGACCCCTTTAAAACTAAATTGAGTTCTAATCTTTTTTTTATTGTAATAGCTCATTTATAATACATTGTTATTGTTCTAGAAACTTGGATTAACGAGTATACTTTCTATGAAAAATAAATGCTACTAAAAGTGTATAATATGTCTCCTCTTTAAATAAATTTGATTGCTTATAGCACACTTTCATTCTTTTAGTGGAAAAGAGTTTTTGATGGTGATTTATGTGTGTAGGAGGCAGAGAAGATGGTGGCAGCGCTCCAGGACACATCTCTAGAGGAAGAGTGTTTCACCCAGACTCTTCAGGAGAGCAGAAACACAGCCTCTGCTCTTCCTCTCTCCCATGACTCTGCCATGAAATGGTTTTACAAAGACCCGCAAGGAGAGATTCAGGGTACGCACGCATTCTCTCATAGGAGGTCAACTCATGCATATGGAGCCAGTGCTTTGAGTATAGTCTGTAAATACCATCTCTTTTTTGCCTGTTTTTTTTGTCTGTTCCATCTCTCTCAGGTCCTTTCAGTACAGTGGAGATGTGTGAATGGTTTCAGGCGGGGTATTTCGCCATGAACCTGCTTGTTAAACGTGGTTGTGATGAGGGATTTCAGCCGCTGGGAGAAGTCATTAAGATGTGGGGGCGTGTGCCTTTCGCCCCTGGCCCCTCCCCTCCGCCCCTCCTGGTGAGGAAGCAAGCTGACCATCGCCCTCACCCACCCCGGGGGGCAATCGTGAGTCTCTGGGTGGAAGGGTGAATGTTTGGGCATTATTTTCCATAGGGTTATTTGCATTCTGGGGAGTTTTTCTCATCCATTAGTTTTCATATTAATTCAAAAGGGAATAAGCGTGTTTGTAAAGTTGTCTCCGTGTATCTCTGCGTGTGTTTGTATAAATTTGCATATGTGTTCACGTGGAATGTGTGCAGTGTGTCTTAAAGAACTATTCAAATCTCTCTTTTCAAAATGGAAAACTATAAACATTTTGTAATTAGCAAAACAAAAAAGTCTTTAATGTTTCTATAGGTCCTAAATTTCTTTACTGAAATGCTTTTATTATACTTTTACTAAAATAAATGCTCTTATTTAATGTTTGACATCAAAGAAATTAGGATAGCCATGAAGATTAGTATTTTCACGGTTTCTCTGTTAAAATAAAAAAATTTTTACTATTATAACTTTTTTTAAATTTATTTTACAGTACAATAATATTGCTACTTTGGAGCATTAACAAATGTAAAAGCTTACATTTACATTGTCATTTTGCAGATGCTTTTATCCAAAGTGACTTACAGTTGGGGACTTACAGCTAACAAATCATTCTGCATTGTTGTATACAATGTGAAATTTTGCCGTGTAAATTTTTGCTATAGACTGTAAGTAAATAAATACCATTAAGCTAAAAAAATATTAGTTTAAGCCATCTTAGAGAACATTATCAAAAAAACTGGTTCTTTTTGATGTGGTGTTAAAATACCAGTATTTAATCACTAAATATTAAAAATATAAGAAAGATTTTGTTAATTTGTTTAATTATATTGGTGTTTTTACAGTTTGCATAAACGTCTTGATGACTTAAATATAATTTCCTTAAACATGTGGATATCTTGTGTTTGTAAATGTGCTTATGCGTAGGGCTGGGTATCGAGATACTTTTTAGGTACTGACCAAATTGCCTCGATAAAAAAAAACGTCTCGTCGTTCGGTACCAAATTTCGATACCTAAGGGGTTAATCTCATCAACGTCAGTGAGCCAATAAGCCTGCAGCACTAGGTGTGCTCGATTAGAAGCGGCGCAGCGCGGATCGATCAGTGTTTGACATTCGCGAGAGCGATGCGAAAACGTATGGAGCAGTCTGCTCGTGGTACTGTAATACAGGGGTTTTCAACCTTTTAGGACATGCGCCCCCCCAAATTGGTCTAATTTCACTCGCGCCCCTAACATCATCCAACAACCCCCTCCCCCCCGTATTACTGTAGTCACACAGAATTACTTTATTAACTTTAACATAAAAGCAAATATCCATTACAGCAGCGAACAAATTTTGATGTTTTCTTTACTGTTTACATTCACTTAAAACAACCGACTGTGCTTACAAGGATACTTGTCAAGACAGCCATTGGTATTCACCTGCTGTCTGAGAAGGCTATCTGTTTGTGCACTTCAGGTGTGTGCGCGGTGCGCATAGAAACGCTCTATCACAGTGCGTGAGTACCGCATTGAGATGTCTTGGGCTTAAATGGCTTAAAATTACTTTAATGTTTAAACTGACAAGACTTAAAACACGTGAGAATGAAAAACTTTCTCGAGGAAGCAGCACTGGCCTGATCGTTAAGATAGTTTTGGGGGGCTAAGGTGACAGATGGGGGGCTGAAACCCACCTAAAAAGGGTTTAGAACCGCCCCTGGTATAGCGTGCGTAATTATACTGAAACATAAATATATAACCAGTTTACCTGATTCAATGTGATGGCTGAGCCTGTTTCTGAGATAACAACATGCCAATCCGTGGTTGGATTTCCGACATGGCTAATCGTAAATAATCTTACACTGTCAATAAGTGTGACCAGGGTTGCCAGGTTTTCACAACAAAACCCACCTAATTGCTACTCAAAACTACAAAACGCGGCAAGTGTTAAAGTTGCCCAATTCTGCGGGAAAACCGCAGACTAGGCAACACTGAGCGTGACTGATACTCGAGCCAACTCTGCTCTAACTGTCGACCATGCTGTCGACTAGCAGTGGGAGTCAGATTGCCCCCTAGTGGATGGCTAAAGATTTGTTAACTCGTATTCATAAATTCTCAAGGGAATGTCTCTGAATGAACTGATGCTCGCGCCCCCCTTGACAGGTGCTGGCGCCCCCCTTGGTCCGCGTCATGCGCCACACTCAGAGATGTGGCTCACACGTGAGGATTTAGTGTGAATGCGTCCCAGCCCCCGTAGCTGTAAGGCTACATTTACACTGGTGCGTTTTTGTTTTAAAATGAAAACGATCCTCGTCATACTGGCGTTTCCACTGCGTTTCAAGCCGGCTTTCCACTATCTCCGACACAAGACAGACCGAAAGGCATTCATTTCCAATGGAGAGTAGCGCGGGAGCTGTGTAGAGTTCCAATCATATGCAGATGTCCGTTCATTCTACAAGACCGAAAGCATGTGTTACGTGACCATTCATGCACACTGTAGCATCATGCTACTTAAGACCAGGGTTTCAATTGGGCCGGGCCATCTGGGGCTGAGGCCCGGCACATAGACTCCAGGGCTTGACATTAACGCTTCATTAACGCCAGACAAGTAACATGATTAAAACATCAGTAACCAAAAATAACTGTAAACACCAAAACGCAAGTATTATTCAGATTTTATTACATTTAGAGTAAGTAGCGAATAGTGGATATTTAATGTATATAATGCATCTATTCTGCTGAGGCGCGGCTCGCGCAGCCTCTCCACGAGAAATCAAAATGCGCAACACTAAGAAACTCAGCATCCTGAGGGCAAAATTCAAAATGGAAAGTTTTTATATTTAAAATACAGTTAGTTAGGCAACATCACACAACGTTTTTACCATTACGACGGTTTAATAGTTCTATAAACAGTTAACAATAATATTAGGTCACTTACATTTTAGGCGGAAACAGCGCACCTCACAGCAACCAGCCGATTTCATTGCTGATTGATTCCGTGTTTTGAACGAATCGGTTGAGTCAAAGTTTCGTTAGCCCATGCATAAATATCTGATGAATCTACCGTTTGAACGAATCGTTTGAATGAACGATTCAATGACTCACTCATTAAATGTTCACTACTGGCACCTACTGGCGTTTTAATTTAGTTGAAATGTATCATTTCCACCATAATTTCTTGTTTGTATATTCAAATATATTTAAAATAATCTCATAATAATTATTTAATGCAGTTGTGTTTTTCAGTGTAAATGATTTAATTTGATAACGTATAGATAATCACATTCAATTATGATTTAATTTATAGATCAAATGTAAGAATTTGAAGTGAAAGTATTAATGAGATTAGTGGGAATAGAATAAATAATTTGCACAAAAAACAAAACACACACACACATATATATATATATATATATATATATATATATATATATATATATATATATATATATAAGCTCGATACCATAGAA